CAAACTGAAAGGAATAAAGTGTTTTTCATATAATTCATTGTTCATATGAAAGAATAGTTTCAAAAGTACTTTTTCATTCATGTGAGTCAATTTTCATGTGGAAGTAGTTGATCCAGGAGTGCTTTTTCTCCCAGTTTCTATCTGATAGTAACTTTTATGCATGATCATGTGCAATGAGAAGATACGGCCAACAGATAATGTCGTTGTTTTTCATTTGTCCAGCCAATATTTCTATTGTTCTGCGACCTCTTCATTTTGAGGCTCACTAATAGAAAATTATCTTTGAACCAAGCACTCCTAGAATCAAAATGATCAGAAATCCGATAACTCTACTGAATATATCAAGGAGAGATACATACGTTTGAGAAAATGAATATTTCGAAATTAGATCTCCAAACATTAATCTCTCCCAACGTTCTTACTTCCTTAAAAAAATCACGTTCATTTGAACATTTGAAATAAGTATTCACTCTCATCATTACTATCTTTATTATTAAATCATAAGTCAATCATTAGTCTTTAATTTGAGAAATTACTGACCAATTAGCATTATATGCATGATAGATCCATCTGGAATATCAAGTCGAATTTGAGCTTTATTTCAAAGGATTGCTGTATATAAATGAACAATTGCTTACAATGAAGATTGATTGCAACAAAAACAGTACATATATTAAAATGTCTATTGCGAACATTGAATACATAACTGAATATAAACAATCATTACATAATCAACGTTTTCCCCTCATCGTGAGAGAATTTCCATATCAGCCCTTTGATCTTAACCACTATTTCCTAGTTTTTGAGAAATTTCAAATATATTTCCTGTTGGCGAATACATCTAACGTGTATGTTCCATCTAACTAAGTAAGTTCTATCAAAATTTTTACTCAACCATTCTATAGCACTGCAAGTTACAATATCAAAAAAGAAAAATGAATATATTACGATAATCACAATCATTTTCACAAATATCTGTTAACATGAAATCAGGATACCTATAGATGCTCATGATATCATCAAACTCTATTGTAATGTTATTCATCTACATCTGCGATGTAAAAGTCATACACACTACTGGTTCTTCAAAATAAATCAATAACAAAATCAATTATTGTGACAAAGTTTCAAGTTATGGAAAATGTTCCGAAAATTGAATAATGATATCTAGTCTGAAAGGTATTGGGTCTAACATGTTGATGGCGGTAGCTTTATTGCTTTCACCGCTCTTTCAGTTGGTACTAACCTTCAAAAGAAAGCCGTTTTTACCGTGCAAGCGAAAAAATAGCTTGAAACGTGTTATAAGGACTCCGCTTCATCGGAAACAATAAAAAAACGTTGGTTTGCTGACTTCAAACGTAGTCGTAGAGAAACCGATGATGCAGAACGCAATGGACGTCCAAATGAGGCAGTAACACCAGAAAACATCCACGAAATCGTTTTGAATGATCGAAAAGTGAAGTTGCGTGAGTTGGCTAACATTGTAAATGTATCAAAAGAATGTGTTGGCTTTATATTGCATGAGCATTTGCCTATGAGAAAGCTCTGTTCAATGTGGGTGCCGCGCGAGCTCACTGTTGACCAAAAACAAGAACGTCTTGATGATTCTGAGCAGTGTTTGGCCATGTTTAAACATAACAAACCGTAATTTTTGCGTCGATATGTGACAATAGATTAAAGATAAATCCATGGATCACTCTGGAATCAAAACGATCGTCATCTGAGTGGAGAGCACCTGGTTAACCTCGCCCATAACGCCCGAAAGCCGAAAAATCGTCTAGAAAGGCTACGGCTTCGGTATTTTGGGATGTGTGTGGTGTAATATTCCTCGAGTATCTTGAGAAGGAAAATACCATCAACAGTGAATATTATATAGCGTTATTGGAGCGTTTTAAGGTCGAGATTACAAAGAAATGACCGCATATGGCAAAGAAAAAAATGTGTATGGCTCTTGATTATTGATGGAGATTACGTTGATGAATGAAGCCAATTTTTGATAAAAAACGCGTTTTCTTTCCTAGACCCGGGACTTTTCAGTCCATGTTACTCTAAAATTACACTCCTGTCATTTGAGGTTTGCTCAAAAACAATTCACAGTTCTACGTTTTCTTGAAGATTTATATTTCTAGTAAGCTTGAATGGATTTTTCACGAACATTAAAACAAACATGGTGAATACCGTAATAAATATCAAAACTAATACAAACAAGGATAAGCCATATATAACATTTTCGGAGGAACTTTCAGATTCATCACCATTGTGAAGTCGCAAGTTTTTAAAATACTTGATGAGATCATTGGGGTTATATTCCTCGTTAAAAAAATTTAATAAGGAATCGTTCAAACTATCTCCATCCACGTATTTTTTAAAGTATTCATAGAAATGGCTCTTTTCGAAATCTTTCTTGAGAAAATCAAGAAATGCACTATTTTTAGGGTTCGAATTGCTTTTTGATAAAAAGTCATCATTGTAGCATTGTATTCCTCGAACATTTTCCAAATCAGTCGAACTTCCTCCTACTACTTCTATACTTTTATATTGACAGTACGTTACAACATTAGTTAAATCTTTACATTTCCAAAAGTTACCGTCCAAATCAATTTTCTTCACACCAGAACAATGGTAGAAAAACGTCTTGATATCAAGTTTATCAATTCGATTGTTACGAATATCTAATTCCGACAGTTTTTGTACAGGACTCAGAACATGTGATTGTAGTTGTGTGAATTCATTGTGTGAAAGATTCAAAAACTGCAAATTTTTCAAGTGATCGAAAGTACCGTAAGTGAATTGAACAATCTTGTTATGTGAAATATCTAAAAATATCAAAGATTTGAGATTCCTGAACAATATATTAGATATTTTTTTGATCTTATTATTATCCAGATGAAGATGTGTTAAATTATTTAAACCAACTAGCGAGTTGTCATTCAGCTCGATCTCATTTCGACCAAGATTGAGTTTCAAAATTAATGAATCAATGAAAGTGCTGCCCAAAACTTCAATTGATTTCAAATTATTATTGTTGAAATCTAAAATTCTTGTTCTTTCTGCTATTGCGCCTGTTTCTATAATGCTGTTATTTCTTAGATACATTATTATACAATTTATTGAAGAGATATTGATCATTTCAATGTTATTATGGCTGAGATCTATTTTATCCAACGAAGTCATTTGTGTAAATATATTATTAATTTTTGTCAGAACATTCCTTGATAAATCAATTACAGAAAGAGATACTTTTTGAAACGAAAACACACTGTCACCCAAAAAAGAAATCATATTATTTTGTAAATAGATTTTTTCAAGAGCAATGCCTTTAAAAGAGTCATTATGAATTAGTTTTATTTCATTATTGGATAAATTCAAGATATGCAAGCGTTTTAATCCACTGAATGTTTCATTTCCAATTACACCAAGCTTATTATTAGAAAGATCCAAACAATTCAAGTGATCCAGTCCATTGAAAGTATTTGGTAATATCTTTGAAATATTCGTAGTGTTCAACATCATATCTACGATATAAGTAGGTCGAGTACCAAATGAAGATGTCGCTAAAGTGGGAATTGATGAATTGGAAAATATAATGTAATAATCGGAACAGCAGAACTCAGGAAAGCTCAATTTTTTTGGTTGTTTTTCCTCGAAAAATAGGTCATGAATTCTCATTCCCATTCTTCTTTTTCCAACACAATCTTCTTTCCAATACTCTAGTGTTTTGTGATCCGAAGAAATTGTATAAGTATCTTGGGCTATGACCGCTGACAAGAGAGCACCCAAATGTAGAAACACCTTCCTCATTTTGTGGTTGTTGCTCGAGGCTGAAAAAAAGTAATTTGTATGAAACTTCTTTTTAAAAAAGAAGGGGAGAGTGGGGCAAAACCCAGAGGTCGAGCCAACCCGGGTACAGCTGATGGCGAGCGATCGCGCAGGTACAAACTCTCCCAACTAAATTACTATTGGATTACGATAAGCCCCTTGCCAACCAGTTTCGTACCTATAATTAGTTTCAATTACGGTAACAAATGGAACATGACTTCTTTGTAATTTCTTTTCAAATTTTATTTAGTATTATAGGTAGTAGAACACTTCATTAAAATGTTATACAATGATACACTTATCCAAAAATGAACTTTAATCAGTCACTATCTGAATACAAATTTTCGTCATCTTGACTGCTGCTGGTGCTTGTGCTACTATCGTCATTCAGATTTATAATCATTGGATTCACCTCTGTTTGAACTTCTGTGAATGTTTCATTTTCTCAATATTTCCCTATATCTACTACATGTCGGTAACGCTTTTGCCATTCCTCGAATGTGATTTGATCAAACTCGTGCTCCGCTAGTTTCCTCACATCTTCCAATTTGAAAGTTGCATTCTTTTGGAACATGTCGTTTTCAACAGTAGCCCAATGAGATTCAAATCCGGATGGTAGGGTGGAATATTATGGTATGGAGTATTATCGGTCACGACTATCGAATTCAGATCATAATTTTCAGAACTCCTTGGTTGATTCATCCGTCCAATTCTTGGAAGATGTATGTACACTCTATGGAGGTATGTTTCATCAAAAAACACAATTGGTCGCTATTGGCTACGAAAATAATTGATTTTTTAAATACCTATTTGATCCTCATTGCTCTAATGTCCATTTTCTCTATTGAAATTTTTCTATTATTTTCAGTCCGCCTCCATTTGTAACCTATTTTCTTCGAAAATCTACGAGGAGATGTTTCGGATTCAACACCAGTGGTGCTGGGCTGAACCAAAAATAATGGAATAGATCCCATAGATTACGTATTCGTAAGGGGAGATGTCATCTCTCTTACTAACTTGAGCTTTTCGTTTGAAGATATCTAATAGCGATGAATTTATAGTTCAGCTTAGCATCTCTGATGAGACCTATGGTGGTACGAAACAGCGCTGTCCTGTGTTGCGTATCCCGCTCTAGTTCACAACTAGTTGCCTTGCTAATGAAAGCTGCAGTGAGAGACAGAGGACGAATCTCGTTGGCGGTTGATGTCGAAGCTTGGCTTTGCAACTGACCGACTTGGAGAGCCTCGTTCATCTTTAATGTTTTAGGATTGACTTCTCTGTCGATCTCATAGATGGCACCTTTGTAAGAGGTGTTGTCATTGCCCTTGCTCGACATTACGACTTTAAACTCTAAATTTTGACTTCAATCTCGAAATTTTTACTTCAAACTTATCAAATATGGAAATTTCATTGCTGAAATAATAGCAAGGGAGGTTGTCACTTGGAAGTCGATAAACGCACCTTATCTAGTGTGTTCGAAACTGACCGCCTTGGGAGCCTCGTTTATCTTCGATATACGAGAATTGAGTTCTCTGTCGATCCCATAGATGGCGTCTTTCTAAGAGACGTCGTCATTGCCCTTACTCGAAATTACGACTTTAAACTCTAAATTTTGACTATAATGTCGAAATTTCGACTTTAAACTCACCCAAAAAAAATGTCTCTCGGATAATAGCAAGAGTGTTTGCAAGATGGGAAAATAGTGGCCTATATTGCGTGTTACTTGAAAGTAAACTCGCCTTATCTAGTGCTTTTATGTGATGTTATTTTGAACTACATGATATCAAAGTTTTGAAATTTCAGTATTTCCTTTCGTTGGTAAGAGATATCGCTTCGGTTAAAGAGAGATATTGCTTAAACTTTGAAATAAAACGCTTGGATATATATAATTGTCAGAATTTGTTGCAGAATTTGATTTCAATAAATGACAGAGTATGAGAAAAACTTGTTTTGAGAATATTCGTGAACCGAAATAATTTTTGAGTTTTTTCGGATATTGCCGTAGGTACCTAATCGATTTTTAAATTATTACTGAATCTATATGCATTATTGTTAAAAATAGTATACAGGGTGTTTCAAATTCGATTTTCAGGGAAACTATGAGAGATAAGAAGATGGTTAAATTGGGGCAAAATTGCGCATTCTCCTGACTAACGATATGCCGTTGAATCATTCTTTTTCGAAAAATTGGAGATATGAAAAAATCAATTCTTATCATAATAGGCTTCGACTTTGATGTTTCTAAATTTGACTTTCAATTTGTTACATTCAATGACATTTTGTTATTGTACAAGTTATTGAATTTTTCACGAAAAATGGCTTTCATGTTGAAGTTATTGGATCAAAATCTCACAGAGTTTGGCTCGTTCGAAAAGGCAATGAAAAAATACGGAGACAGAATCAACAATCAAAATTTGATAAGTGAGGTGTGTATGAGGTGAATTAGACATTTTATCCTTTTTCAATGAAAATAGAACTTTGAACAAATAACAATAATTCACTAAAATGTAAAGACAAAAGTAAATCACAGCAAATTCTCAAAATGCTGGCCTTGTTATGTGGTAACACAACTATGCCCTTCTTCGAATATTATTCTTTGCACGATTAATTTTCCTCCTTCCCAATCTTTCGAACTCTCTAACAATCCTCAATATTTTGATATTCCCTATGACCATAAACTCTATTTTTCAGTGTACTCAATAAGAATGTATCCATAATACTTAACTCTGGAGACCTTGCTGGCCACTTCACCGGCCCATTATTCCCTATCCATTTATCACCAAACCTTTCAGTCAGGTAATCAGATACTCGTCTGGTACTGTGCGGTGGAGCACCATCATGTTGAAACCAGATGTTGTTATAGCTAGCCAAAGGTAGATCATCCAAATAGTCTTCGAAAATCGACATTAAAAACTGGTGATAGGTTTCTCCATTCAGAATTCCGTCAAATAAATAATGACTCAAAATTCTTTCTTTTTAAATTCCTGCCCACACGTTAATACTAAATCGCACTTAAGGTCGAATTTCTCGGAACTGCCTGGGGTTGTTTATGCTTCAAATGTGTTCCTTATTTCGGTTGAATATCCCACAATTCGTAGAAGTGCTTTCATCTGTCCAAATTATATTTTCCAGGAAAACAGGAAAATCATGTCTTTTTATCAGCCAATTACAAAATTCTAATTGCCTTTCGGGATCACCTGGATGCAATTTTTAAGATATGTGAATTTTGTAACATTTTAAACCGCTTTTTTGAGATGTCTCCAAGCACCTGTATGACAATTATTCATTTTGGAGAAAATTTGATGTGAAGATTTCCCCGGGTTCATGTTTATCTGCAAATAATTATTTTTATTGAAAAGGACACAATGTCTAACTTACCTCAATACATACCTCACTTATCAAATTTTCTTTAGTTTCCTGGTCCATTCTGTCTGCGTATTTTTTCCTCGGCTTTTCAAATGAACCAAACTCGGTGGTATTTCGATCCAACTTGAACCTAGTTCGATGTGGTTGTCGTCTTTCGGGATACAAGTTTAAATACATTTCCGATGTCCTAACACTGTTTCTATCGTATTTGTAATAAATTTGTATTATATCTCTTTTTTCTTCATTCGTGAAAGCCATTTTTTGCCAAAAATTCAATGACTTGTACAATAACAAAATGTCATTGAGTGTAAAAAATTGAACGTCAAATTTAGAAACATCAAAGTCAAAGCCTATTATAATAAGAATTATGTTTTTTCAATATCTCAAATTTTTCGAAAAAGATTGATGACATACATCATTGAAAAGGAAAAATCTGGTTCTATTCAAAACAGAAAGAACCCAATATAGCACCCATAAGAAAAAAAAAGTTGATTATGGTTGCTTCGGATAGCAAATCTAAAAACACCATTATGTAGCAGGGAAAAGTGGCAATGTGGAAGTGTAATTTATACTCGGAATTTCAAAACTTTCTCAACGGCATATTGTTAGTCAGGTAAATGCGCAACTTTGCCCCAATTCAACCATCTTCGTATCTCTCATAGTTTCCGAGATCCCAATGATGAGGATCGAATTTCAAACACCCTGTATACCACGACACAGTATAATAAATATGTTTTGAGATATATAGCTGTTTAAAAAAAATCTGTTTAAAATATGTCTGTTTAAAATCTGTTTTCCGTTAACCAGCTGTCGCACCCCTACGAACGACAACCCTCAGAAGTCGAAACTTGTGCGAGCTAAGGATTAACGAGGTGTTACCTTTTAACGTGTGATTCCTAACACGGGTTGGACGATAGCAAGTGAAGATCGATCGTTCAGACTAGGGCTTGAACCACCGACCAACACGGTAGTCAATTCGAGTGAGTGAACAAATCACCCACGCCGAACCGCTTGGCTACCGACCGACCTACAAAAACACATGACATCAAAATGGTCAAAACTTTAGAAACAACCTAATATCTCTGGTAGGACTAAATCCACCAACAGCAGCATCGTGAGTGGAATTCACTAATCTATTGGCTATCAACCTACCAACCTTCGTTTTCAGAAGAAATTTTCTCGTATCCAAAAAATGAAATTAATAATAATAATGATAATAGATGAAGTTATATATAAAACTGAAACATGAAAGCGTTACATTCGCACAATAGACACAGCGCTGTGATTGACCTATTAAAGTTAATTAGCACTAGGATTCGGCTTTATTACATATGCAAGGTATGAACTCTTTAGACTTTAGACGAATGAACAATCCTGAATAAAGAATAAACTGAATGGTTTTCCTTGTGAAATTTCAATATATGGGCGGGATCAACAAAACTCTTAAACGCTGTAAATTCGGGATAAACGAATGTAGGTACACTGTGATTTGTTGCAAAGCTAAAACCTTAGAAAAATCACATCCTCGATAGTATATCTCTAAAAACTAATTTTTGATTCGATTTCGTGACACATACTCTATATAACATACCTTTTTGAAGAGTTTAGTTTCACATTCATCAACTATATGGTGAATTCCAATTCGATATGAATATGATGCAAAGGAAGTTTCTAGTGTAAGAAATTGATACTGGCAAGCGAGTTATGATGCTGTTAGGAAAGAGATAAATTTAATCTTGAATTATCAATCCATTCCGTTTTGAAGCTGGGGATTTTTCTTTTCCGTTCTTTAAATAGCTCATGATTATCTGTACTTTTCCTAGTTTATTGAAATTCACTGTAAGGAAAGACTGAAAATTTTAAAGTGTTTCTCACAATTTCGTTTTGTCCACTACTCATAATGAACTCAACATGTAGAGTAGTACGAGGGATGAAATCAGTTGGAATATTTTCAACAGATTGAAGATAATGAAGAATTTCGCTGAAATGTCTTCTGGAGTTATGAAACAGCTTTCATTAGAAGGAAGATGTAATAATTCCTTCACGAAAACATTCACAAGATAATTTTCAGTATATAGAATTGAAGCAGGTTTTAACGATTTGAATCCAATCTTGCATTTCCATTCTGATAGTCTCTTGACGTAAGAAAGAGACAACACAGATTGTAAAGGCTTCTCTTTCCAACGGATTTTCTACCAACTTTTTATAGTACGTATCTATCACTATATGTAGCCCAATTCCTTGTAAAAACTTCGCTTCGTTGATCTTCGTTGGCTTTGTTGATCTGAAACTGAAGAATTCTACAAGAAGTCAAAACGGTTGCACGTGCGTTTCTACCGTACATCCCTAGGGTTTTAGATAGAATCGGAAAAATTCTAAGGAAGCATAACATAAAAACAGTGTTCAAGCCCACCAGGAAAATACAGCAAAGCCTGAGATCTGCGAAAGACAAAAGAGATCCACTATCAGCTGAGGGGGTATACCGTATACCATACACCCGCGGAAAAGTTTATATCGGTACCACCAAAAGATCCATGGGTACAAGGCTGAATGAACATCGGAAAAACTGTAGATTAGGTCAAATAGAAAAATCGGTAGTAGTGGAACACGCGTTTAGTGAAGGAGATCATACGGTACTGTTTGAAGATGTGAAACTACTAGCACCCGATCATGTATACCACAGTCGGCTTGTACGGGAAGCCATAGAAATCCATAAACATACAGAAAACTACAACAGAAAAGAGGAGGCGGTAACGCTTAACCGGATTTGGAATCCTATACTAAAAGATGCTAAGGTGGCAGCAGTTCAACGCAATGTAACAGCTAATAACACTTCGGCCAATAACAACGCACCAACTAGAAAGGCGGGCTATCTGTGTCAACATAAATACAACTTACAAACTAGAAATCACTAATCACCGGTGAACCGTCAGAATGAATAGACCTCTGAAGAAGTCAGCCACTCGTGCTGGCAAAACGTTAAAATACAGTTCCAAACCACGACGGCCTTCAAATCCGAACGAAGATCGTAACACTGATATACAGGTAGTGTGAATTATTATGTGAACATGATATAAATATGATTACAAATTAACATACTCTATTAACTCTGCAGTATTAACTAGCTCATCGAGTGAATATTTTTCATTTAAAAAACAAAATAATTATTGTGTGGAAGTGATACTGCATTGGCAGATTATTACATACCTCTCAATTATTTCTGCACCGGATACTCTGACCTTCCACCACTGGTAACCACAGTTGAAAATAAATTGAGGAAGTTCTGTCTGTCTGGATTTGATAAGTGCAAATGGTCAGCCATCCCAACTCTAAAGTGATAAATATAGTCACTTTAAATAAACTCAAAAAGTAACGATCGAATTTTCATCAATTGGCGGAATGATTCAAGAGGAAGGTTTATGTGTATAATGTACACATTGTACTCAATTGTGTCAATAAGTTGAAATATGACGATGTTAACCGTGAGAAGTCGAGACATTAGTGCTACCTGTTCAAGCTTTCAATTCGCTATTTCAAATTGAAATATATGCGAATTCAAGGATGGCATATGACTATCTTTTAATTTTTAGTTATTTAGATGAATATAATATTGATCCTTATTTGATAAGGATAAGGATTATTGCTTATTAAATATTAAATAAGGATTAATATCATAACAAGCATTATAATGTGCATTTCATGAACATTATAATAATTCCTTGTCACAACTTACAATTCAAATTGATAATATCTTAGGAGTTGTCACAAATCTATTATGCGAGAAAATCAATTTGAGCGATCTGATGAATCAATGCGACATGCGTGATGAAGAGAGATTATAATTGCGTTAGTTTTGTTCCGCGTTGTCTATCATTTTGAAGTTTTCAAAATTAAAATTGATATTTTGTTCAATTGAGTTTTGGTAAAGTTCATTAACTATTATTAGTTATTAGATGAGGTATCCTGCTCCTCTAACAGAGTTGTTATGACAATGGGTGGTACTTGGAATAACAGGATAAAAGGATGGTGTGTGGGGGCATCGCCCTGCAAAAATAAAATACCTTTAAATAACTTTTTGTCATGGAGTAGTCAGTAATGTCGTATAGTGGTTCCCAGTTATTGATCTATCCTTTTCCAGAAAATCAATCATGATTATTCTTTGGCAGTCCCGAAAAACTGCGGCAGAACCTTTTCCAGTACATAAAATTTCTAAGGCCTTGTAGAACCAGAGTGTTTCCATTCCATCGAGTAATGCTTTGTTTGAGTGGTAAAAATTTACACAGTAACAAAACAACTTGCATATTCATATGAAATATTCAGTGACTCAAATTTTCTTTTTAATACAATTCACTGGTTTGATATAACATGTCATGAACTGCATTTTGATATCACTTTTGCAGCTTGCGATTCAGTTTTTTATGGTTGCATACAAAAGACATTAGCCGCCAAAGTTATTGAATATATGCTTATCTCTCAACCCCTTCAATACTCCAATTTTCACAGTTTCGGTCGACATTCTATTTTTTTAGTCTTACTGCGCCATCTGGTTTGACTTTTTGACGTGACACTTTATGGTAACTATGGTAACGCTATAGTCTGTTTTTCCACGGAGCCGGTCTAGGCTAACTAGATATCATACAAGCTCGCATTGGTGTGAAAATATATCTATAAGACTCCCCTGTTTTCACATCAAAGTAGTATTCAATTGAATTCTATATTTATTATTGATACACTGACCCGTTACGTGACGAAAATTAATAACACATTCCATGATTAAACAATTTTCGCGTCACTAAAGACGCGAAAGTCATGAGTGTGAAAACTTTTAAATTATTACAGATCTGTACTTATTCATATTACCTCATATGCAGCCCAATCCTTCGTTAATCCTTAGCTCACACACGTTGTTGTTCGTAAGGGAGTTTCTTAACCAAAAATTATATTTCGACAAACTTCAATCAGATATCTCCATGCAAGACAACTGGATTAATTATTCAAATCTAAAACCTACATTTGTAATTGGAATTGAACATGTAAATATATCTGAGGAACTTCTAAAAAACGATTTTTATATATTCTTCATTGAAGCTTTGACTCCTCATTTTTTTAAAATAAAGCTAGTTGGGCATACCTACCTACTTTTATATTGTTATTTTTTATAAAATATGAGAAGGTATCACTACCTGAAATTGAAGACATCACTTTTGATAGAACACGCTAACTGTAGTCACCTTGTATACAATATCGTACTTGACATAGTAATATATGAATTCCATTAGTTCGGACTTCCATTGTCTGATATTATATAAAATGATTTGAAATCCCT